TGTTCCAACAGTACTGCTGAGAGCAAGCTTATCTTCAGCTACAGGGGGCTGCGGGGTCCCAGGGGAGAGAGGGAAGATGGGGAGACCCCTTACAATACGGTGTCCCCAAAGTGCAAAGCACCAATTCTTTTGCACCAAGAGGAGTAGGGCGATACCTTCTGTTGTTAAAGTCAATGCTCGTTTAGATGGGACAGTCTTATTGCATATTGCAAGATATGAATGTAGTATTCATTCCCGATGAAATAAAGTACCATTTTCACAAGTCGGAATTCTTAGGCACAGCCCTCAGTGGACAGTCTTCTAAAGTCTAAGAAAAGATGACTGCAGTAAAAAACACTGCACCAATGCAATGCTAACTCCTTCAACATCCTTTTGACTTACGTGACCATCGTGTTGGTTTGGTTTCGTTTTCATTTCTTGGTTAGAAAACCGTCAGCTTTGTTTCCTTTTCTCTCTCTGGGTGTGACACTTCTACAATTCCACGTCACAACACGGAACACGAAGTGCTGTGGTCGTGGGCTTATTTCCAGATCTGTGTTGCTGTCTGCGTGGAGTTTGTATGTTCTCCCCGTGTTCGTGTGGGATTTCTCCCACAGTCCAGAGAGGTGCTGGAGGATTAATTGGATTCTGTGAAAATTGGCCCTGGTGTGAGTGTGTGTCTGTGACTGTGTGCCCTGAGATGGACTGGTGTCCTGTCCAGGGGGTACCCTGCCTTGTGCCCGTTGCTTGCTGGGATAGGCTCCAGCTACCCCGTGACTCTGAATTGGAAGAAGCGGTCTGAGAGTGGATGGGTGTCTGTACTGTAAGCACTGGTCTTATTGACATCCTGGGGGGGTTTCATTAAATATAATACATTATACTGTATTTATTAGTTTAGTTATGATAAAAGTACACAAATATGGCATATATATCACACCAACTTAACAACATTCCAAAGAAGTATTTTATACATTAGTCGATATTTAATGCTCACAGTAGCTGTGTTGTAAGTTATGGCAGGATACAGTTTGTTTAATACCCCTCCCCTCACACGCCTATCAGTCGCGCTCGTCCAGTCAGCACATTGCTAGAAACTATCTTTGCAAACTTTCGGATTGTGAACTGCCACACCCCCGCGACAAGTATAAAAGGAACCCAGAACTCCCCCGTCTGTATTGATGAAAAGACGGGCGATGAAAAGGAGGAAACCGTGAGTATGAGTTTGGTTACTTTTACATGGGTTGACTGGGGTGGGTGCAATGATCATATTCAGTGCTGTCCATCCTCCGGTATACTTCCTTATTTCACTCTTTCGTGAACACTTGTTTTCAAAGCGGGGGAACTGGAACCCGCTCTTGTTGGCGATGAATCAGAAAAAAAGTGTCTGATGTTCAACACATCTGTATATGGAGAACGTTTGTTTGCTACATTGCATGCTATACACTTGGCACAAATAAAAAAAAAACATCTTTCCTCACAAGACTATTGTGAGGCGCTATTATTGTCACAGGTATCGTCTTTGCACATTGTTTATAAAATGGATGAATTAAGTGGGTGTATTCTTCAGACAGTTGCAAAAGAGATTAGAAGTCACCACAGTCGTCGTATCAACTACTGATTTGGTATTGTGTCTTGTAAAGAGAAACGCCGTTTGTTGCTCTGTGAGTTCCTGTCTGGACTTCCTACAAACAGCGCAGTGAAAGACCGCATTCGTTAACCTGTTAACTGCAGGTGTGAGCACCGCAAGATATATACCGAGATATAGCGCCTTCTTTTGTGTGACGTCACCCTACATCTGCGGTCTCTGACTTGCTGTCTCTAGGGATGGGTTGAAAACAGAGTTGCGGCGTTTCCCTCAACAGATTTTGTGTTTTTTTTTTAAGGTCAAAAAAGGTAGAAGAGCTTCAACGAGGTAAGTAAAGATTAATTTCCTACTGAGCAAGCATGCCAGCCTGAACGTCAACAGCGTTGTTACTGTGAGCTCTGCTGAATTCCTCAATGTCCTGATCGGAGATATCCTGCTTAGCTCTGAAGAGCTAGCTGTGGTGTATTCCGAGTATTTTCTGCAGCTGCCCTTATTGTGACCTTACTACCCTGTGGACTGTCACAGTTTCACAGCAGGAAAAGAAAGAAAAACTCAGCCGCTGTCTGAATCCATTAATCGGTTCAAGAGTCTCTCCTGCTGCATTCCAGTGTCGGGGCAGATATACCCTTATACACTCTCATCGTCCCCAGTCTCACTCTCCAGCGTGCGGCCTGATCCCAGGACGAGCGGCCCCTCTGCTCCCGGCTGTTGCACTGTTTCTGTTCCGTGTGATTTCAGAAAGGAAGGGTCCCCGGAAGAAAGGGAAACTTGGTCCTCAGGGGCCCACAGCAGGTGCTGTTGGAGCCCCTGAGGACCAGGTCAAAGAAAACCTCATCTGTCCAGAGCGCGCCTGTGTCATCTCCCCAGAGGAAGAAGCAGAGACCAGAGACGGGTCCAGCACACCGAGTATATCCCAGGTACCCTTCCCTCCGCTCTCCTTCCCTGCATCCGCCCGCGCGCTTCAGGGAGGAGGGGCGCCTGTGATCCACGCTGGGCCTGGCCGAGCTCACGCACGCAGCAGCGACCACCTGGAGGAGATCCCAGCATCGGTGAACTACAGCGCTGCCGATGGGCCAGACAGGCCTAGTGGCTCCTCTCGCTTACAGCCTTTCTCCTGTTCTCATGTCCTTGCCGAACGACGGGGGCAGTTTCATATCAAACCTGGTCATCAGTGATTTTGTGCAATAAGCATGCTAGCAGGGTACACAGCAACAGCCAGCGGGAATCAGTCAGGGGGTGTAGGAATGGATGAAGAACAAATATCTGTCTCTGCTCAGATTGTCAATCCAAGCCCGGCACAGGGTGTGAGGGCTTGAGTCTAGGAGGTGGCCCTCTGCTGCCAGAAGGACTGAACTGCAGCTTTTCTGTGAATTCAATCCTCCTTCTGTAATGATGCAGGTGACAAAGCAGGAAGGCGAACATCAGGAAGAAGAAGAAGATATTTCAGAACTAAAGGTAAATCTGGACCTTTCTGTATGTGAGCCTCAGTGCTGCAGTAACCCACAAAGTGAAACCAAATCTTCTAAAACATACACCCAGAAATATAGCTAAATTCTATATACTGTATGGCAATGACTTGGGTTTTGGAAGATTGAAAGATAGTATAGATAATATACTCTTTGAAACGTTTGGTATGTTCATTGCGTGTGTAGTGCCAAAACTGGAGAAACATTTTCTTGCAACACAAGTGAGCAGTACTGTGCCGTGTGTCTGTGTGGCCAGCAGTCTCCCTGTACAGCACTGGTGGCAGAGGCAGTTCACTTCGGGATATTAATCCTCTTCTCTTCTCTTGACAGGCTGGGGAGATACACAGATGGCCTTGTCTTATTTTACCTACCCGTTATAAAAAAAATAATTTCTTTTTAACTCCTAATCCAAGTGAATCTCTACATTTGTATTTGGGAGAAAAATATATTAATGTTATTGAGCCAAATTCAAATAAAATAGTTGAATTTATATTATGTTATAATTGGAATAGCACTCATTTGGAATCAGCAAAACTATTCCAGAAAGACCTGACCTCAGTATTCCGATCTGAAGCCAATATTCCTTCAGAAACAGTAGACATAGCCGAGTATGAAGATGTAGATGTATATGAATATAAAACTCGAAACAAAATAAAGATTAAAGCATTAAACTTTGTTAATGAGGCCAGTTATACATTAATTTTAAAAATGTTAATTTCCAAAAAGGACAAAAAAGATATTTATTTTAGGGTTAAAGATTTTGTAATGCGACTGAACCCTGAAAATCTCTATATAGAACCATGGGGTACAACAGATGAAGGAAAAACCTGGCACTGGAAATACAAAGACCTAATTTATGATAGTCGTAAAATTGCTTCTGGTAGAAACTTTAGTCAAGCCTTGAACGTGCTGGTCAGGGGGGATTTCGATAAAAGACAGGATAGCTTTAGTAATGTCAATATTCATGAGGTTGTGGCTATGCTTGCGGTCTTGATTTCCGAAGCAATTCGAAACCCCAGCACTTATTACATCAACTTGATCATGATGAGATGGAAT